TTTTCCAGCAATTTATGGATACCATGTTACAAGGTATTCCAGTAGCTGCAGCTTACCTAGACGACATCATAATTACGGCAGTAGATAAAATGGACCTGCAGAAGAAACTGGACCAGGTACTAGAACGCATAGCTGATTATGGTTTTCGCCTCCGAGCGGAAAAGTGTGACTTCTATATGCAGCAAGTACGGTACCTTGGGTTCATAATAGATAAAGACGGAAGACGACCAGGTCCAGAGAACATTGAAGCAGTGAAAACAATGCCTAGACCCAGGGACGTTACTACCCTACGATCATTCTTGGGATTGGTCAGCCATTACGGTACCTTTCTCCCCGATCTTCATCGTCTACGCGCTCCACTAAACAACCTACTACAAAGGAATACAAGATGGAATTGGTCTGCAGACTGCCAAACATCTTTTGAGAAAATCAAGCAACTTCTAACTTCCGATCTCTTATTGACACATTATGATCCTTCTCTACCGATAGTCGTCGCTTCAGATGCTTCTAACTATGGTGTGGGCGCAGTTATCTCTCACATTTTTCCTGATGGGTCTGAAAAAGCTATCTCACACGCTGCCAGATCTTTGACAACGACCGAAACGAACTATAGCCAAATCGAGAAAGAAGCCCTATCAATTATCTTTGCAATGAAAAAGTTCCACAAGATGATATATGGTCGACATTTTACCCTAATAACAGACCATAAGCCACTACTTGCAGTTTTTGGGTCAAAGAAAGGAATTCCTGTTCATACAGCTAACCGACTACAACGATGGGCGACCACGCTTCTGGGTTACGACTTCAAGATCAAGTATCAGTCTACTACCGCTTTCGGGCAAGCTGACGCATTGTCGAGATTAATAGGCTCCCAATCGAAAACCCCAGAGGAGACTCTTGTAGCAAATATAAAAGCCGAGGAAGAAGTTCATCGCGTGTTGGATGACGCAGTTAATGGACTCCCAGTAACCTTTGAAACTATCAAGAAGATAACTGAAAGTGATAAGATACTGAGCTCAGTTAAATGCTATCTCTTGACCGAATGGCCAAACAATCGCCTCGACGGAGAACTTTTGCAATATTTTCATCGACGGGACTCTCTAATGGTTGTTGACTCCTGTATTATGTTCGGTGATCGCATTGTTATTCCGAAGTTATTACGTCACAAGGTTCTCAAGCAGTTTCACAGTGGCCATCCTGGAATCAATAAAATGAAATCTTTGGCTCGTAGCTATGCTTATTGGCCGTCAATGGACAAAGATATCGAGAATAAATGCCGTAACTGTTCATCATGCATTCAAGCCGCTAAAAATCCTTCGAAATGCGAACCTCAGTGTTGGCCTATTCCCGCGGGACCCTGGGTAAGACTTCACGCAGATTTTGCCGGTCCAATCCAAGGGAAAATGTTTCTAATTATCGTAGATGCATTCACTAAATGGCCGGAAGTATATATCATGCCAAATTGTACAACGTCAGAAACGATCCACAATTTGTCTACCCTATTTAGTTGTTTTAGAGTACCAGAGACCTTAGTGACAGATAACGGCTCTCAGTTTGCCGCAGAATCGTTTAAACATTTCTGTAGAACAAACGGAATAAATCATATTCGTTCTCCACCCTATCATCCACAATCAAACGGACAAGCAGAGCGCTTTGTGGACACTTTTAAACGAGCATTACTGAAAGGGGGAGGAGAAGGGACGACTGAGCAGGTGATCACAAAATTTTTAACATCATACAAATCCACCCCAAACCCAAATGTTCAAGACGGCAAATCTCCCGCGGAAGCCATGTTTGGAAGGCGTATTCGAACAGTCTTCGATGCCAAACTAGTGGATGAGCGTAGTCGCGATCCAAGTATCCGGAACTTCAGTATTGGCGACAAAGTCTACATTAAATCCTACATCGGGAAGAACCGATGGGAGCCGGGCGAAGTGGTGCAAAAACTGGGAAGAGTACTGTACAAAGTTCGAGGAGTTTTTGGGACATGTATACGTCACATAAATCAAATCCTTAAGGACAAAAGAACGGTGCAGACTCGGAGTAACCGGCCGACTTTCCCGTTAGATTTAATCTTAGACGCACCAATGCTACAAACGCCCAGGAACACTGAAAAGAAGTCTTGGACAAGAAAGACGACAAGAATAATGGAACGCCGTCGCAATCCAGTTATCAAACTACAAGTAGATCCCAGAAAAAAATCTTATTCGGGGGAGGTATTGGGTCGGCTTCCGGAGAACTTCAACGGAGCCTCCAGAGGCCCACAAGGAGCCGAAGAGTCCTGGCCAATCAGAGTGTGATGGAACGTTCTAGAATTCCAACGTGGCGTGCTACTATTGGTCGGTAGCATAATGTGTTGTTATCGGATTGGCTGTAAAATGATGTTGATTTAACAGACGCCAAAATCTATAAATACCCATGATTTTCTGTACAAAAATGAACCTTGGAATAAAGTGCTTTCTCTCATTCTTGTGTCTTCTCTCTGGAGTTCAAGTCGCTGTGTAGTTCTAGACTGCGGGTTATCGGAATAGCTTCGGAATCGTATATAGCGTTCAACCTACACGACTTATCAGTTTTAAATTCAGTGAAGTATTTTGAGCGTAATGTATGTCTCACTAAATTGTACGTGGATCATTTATTTGATATTTATTGTTGATTACATATATCTTTTTATAAAAACTCTGCATTCAGTGGTGTAACGCAAACTTCTGTACACTTATCTTCGCTTATTTGGGTGCACGTATGTCGAATGTGATTGAACAATTTCATTCCATAACATCAATCGAAACATTCAAACATCCTTTACAAACGAATCCAAATCCATCCCGTTGCACAAATCCATGGCTATATGGACTCAGTAGTTAATTGGATAACGCGTTGAATCTTTTAAACAAAAAGTAACAAATAAATAATATATTTGTAATATCCCAATGAGTAGAAAATTAGATTTTCTGACGTTTCGTGAGTTAGTGTAAGTCACTTCTTCAGAGAATAAATAACCAAATTAAAATTAATCCAAGTTTAAATAGTACGACGGAACAGTAAGAATAATATTTGATCAATCAAAAAAGTAACAAGTTCAAATCCCGATTTAAACATAAACATGGGTACAGATTCATCTGGTTGATTAGTCCCTGATAGATTCCACTGCTAACCACTATCCAACTCTGCTTAAAATAGTGAACTACTTCCAATTTGTTATAAGAAAAGAAAGTATAGCTAATGATGATTCACTTGTTTTAGTTAGTGTTTTTTTCCTCGTTCTATTTGAAAACGTCATAATTCAGCTGAGTCATCTTTATTTTTGTTTTTCTCTCGTTCAGTTATTTGTTTGCTTAAATAGTCGTGTTTTGATAGTCTTCGTGAATATTGTGTGTTCATGTATGTGTCTATATATAGGAATAGTATCAATTTGACAGTCTTGTTGTCTTTCAGCTCATATTAACTTGGTTAGTAGTCCCGTTTGTTTGTTTATTCTACTACTATTCGTCCGGATTATTTTATGTATGGTAGATATTTTAAACTGTTAAAAGCATATATTAATAGTAGCACGCAGTGAAAATCGTCTTTATTTAATCTACATTGATCCTTCAGTAGTTTTTTGCTTGTTTTAAAATTTTTAGTTGATATTCGTTATGGATTAGTCTCAATTACGGTGCCAATGAACATCTATTCAGTACTATTTGGTTTCAATAGTACTCATACTGACATCAACCTGTGATGAATACACCCTCTCTCTTTCTCAAAATTAATTAAAATTTGTACAAAACCATTTCATTTAAATTATGTAAATTTTGTTAATTCTTTTCGTTAGAAGTACAGTGTATTTACATAGTAATTAATGTAGTAAGGTACTCATAATAATGTCTAACTTATGTAACATGCTACAGATTAATATCCTAGAAATCAACCGTCTACATTATTATATAACTTGTCCAGTAACTGGAAAACTTGTTTGCCTAAAACTCTGACTCAATTTTCTGTTTGTGAACTATTGTGTATCTTGAATATTGAGTTATTGATTCTAAATGTCATAAAAAAGATTGGTATCTCCACAACTTGTGTTCATTGATGTGTACACTTTCTTTGGGTGTATGTACCTACATTCTAGTATTGATTACTCATATTGAAAATTGAACACTACACTTATCGTTCCAAACTGCAGACGGTTATTCGCTAGGTTATTAAATCTATAATGGTCAACAATATTATCAACTTGGTTTTACATTCATTACCAGTTGTAAATATTTGTGTGAAATAGTACTCTCCTGTTTAGTGCATATCGATAATATTTATTTCAAACGTTCTCTTGCATTCAGGTTTCAAGTACGTATCCAGTCACAGCTTTCTGTGTGAAAGTATTCATACTTGTGGTGCGAAGGAATGTGAATTTAATATTTTCGTTCCTTTTAAGTCATTTCTTATCCGATAAGTCATAATGTCTTGTTTAGAAAATTTGCAACAATACATTCAGGTATCTGTCTGATAGTTTCACAAGCTTTTTATTCAGTCGAGGTCTGGAAATAAATTCCGAGAGTTTATGATTACATGTAGTAGGTTCCATTTATGAATTTAAATAAATTGTTATTCGCTAAATTGATTATTCATACCCTCCCCGGTGTTTAGATGTAACCAACTGAAATGTTTCTGACATGAATTTTCATAGATGAACATTGGAATGTTTTAAAATTTAACCTTGTCGTTCCACCATGTGCTGTTTAAAATAAACACTCTTTATTGTCTGCTATCACCATTTTCTCTAATCATTGTTTATGGACGAATAAAGACGATTTGTTGTTTTAAAAGCTTTGGAATTGTCTAAAAAATTTCACGTTGTTTCTTTGCTTGTAACTCTTAACATTTATGTAACGAATAATTTGTGATATAGTTATTTCACACACCTTGATATATATATATATATATATATATATACATATATATATATATATATATATATATATATATGCCTTCTTAACTTTTCTATGCGTTTAAAATTCTAGCTGATAGATTGGCAGTTCACATTACCACGAATATCTAATACTAAAAGTCAAATAGTCCAACACGATCAACAATCCTCTACAACAGCAATTCAAGTTAATGAGATGAAATTTTTGAAAACAGATTTCATGTTAATGTTTGTCAAATATATCATGAAAATTTCACCAAATTTATTAAACTGGACATCGGAGTTAAATCAATTGGATGTTGTGTCAAGAAGTAAATTTTTATAAGGTTTTATAAATGTTTTAAATATTTTTTGTTTATAATTTGCTATATTGGCGTAGATTCAAATAGCCAACTTACCGTTTTTTAACTTACATCATTTGTGACATAGAGATGTCGATCTACCAACGGGTGGGAAGTATGATATGCTCATGACATACCTGAACTCTAAATACTTTATCATGAATGTTTTGGAAACACTTTTCGCGTTTAGTAGAATGACCGAGTAAACAATGGTAAGGTTCGGGGTATGTTGTTCGGGTAAAGTTGACTGTGAATCTTCATTGATTGTTGGAAGAAAACTTGGGGCGACTAAATCAAAACGTATTATCACTCAGTGACACCATTGACTTTCAATCTGGACCATGTTGATAGTTTCAGACTATCCGGTTAGGAGCTCGTATGATAACCTCGATCAGTGCTTTTAGAAGTTGAATGACGTAGCTTTTAAGTTCCAGTATATCTTCGTACATGCCTTTCCAATCTATCTTTTTGAACAATATCCCCATTGCTTAGTTATTCTCATCCTCACTACCACTACATTGTTTTGAATTCTTCGATGCTTGTCTTACCAATTTCATCCAATTGTGCTGATATGGCATAAAAACGTAGGTTAACACATATTTGTACTTGGCTCTAAGTTGATTATCACAAATGGTTGAAGCCAATCGATAAAATAACCTAAATCTCAGTTTTATCGTAGTTACCAGCCTGTATATAAATACAGATCCATGTAATTACATACTGATCAGTAACTTCACATGTTCTTGTTCTCTAACCAGCATGTTACACTTTTGTGGCCCTAGATCTGATTCCAGTTAAATCGGACGAATGATTGGTGTCGAAATACACATATAGTCTATCCTCGTATAAAATCATCGACTTAAATCGCGTTAGTGAATAACGGAATTAAATAAGTCAAATACGAGAATGAATTTCGAATACGTACACATTGATCTGGACAGACGATCAGAGAGACGAAGCAAAGCTAAATGATGCGCAGTGGAGAAGGCGTGTAAGCCAACTCCCTCTAATCAAGTGTTAATCAATATTTATAGCCAGACGGACATGTGGTGAATGAGATAAGGAGTGCACATACACACATATATAAAAACAGTCGAGGTTGATAAGCGAATAATCAACATGGTGAAAATATGACTCAAGTATAATGGATAAATTGGTTTGTTCAGAAGCTAGACAAGGTATATAGGCTTAACATAGCAACCGACACTACAGCACTTCTGGGATGTCAAGCCTATTAACACTAGTTAAGCTGTATTGTTGTTATGGTAGTTAAATAATAAATCTATAGTGTAGTGGTGAAAATGCTGTGGTTTGCAAATACTGGGTTGCTAGTGCGGATCTCCATTTGGGTACCCGAATAGTAATCATTGCCACTCTTCAAACAACTAAATTGTGGCTCAAATTTAGTTAAATTAAAAATCCTGTGCTTCATCCGTTTTCCTTCCGCATATAAGAATCATTTGGTTGTTAAATATAATAGATAGCAATAGGTTTTACAAAGTTAAGCAAAGTTAACCGCTCTTGTTGATAACAATTAACTGTCTAATAAAATGCAGTACATTTCCTCAATTCATCATAGTGATCAACTACTGCTTAATTGGTATTATTAAATTCTAATTAAGTTCATGTTACACTAATTATTTCCTATTGTTTGGTTTTTCCTCTAGTTTCAATATCTGATTTATTCAAACGTATCGAATATGTCAAATCAAATTTAACATTTTTAATTCATTATTCTAAAACTACTGAATTTGCGAATAGTAATAATTATACTAATAACAATCATAATGATAATAATAAGGATAACAAAATGACAAGCCAAGGTAATTTGTCATTAGAAAATGTTGCATTGATTATTCGTTTACTTGAATTGTTAACAAAAACATCAGAAACTGTAAGTTGCATTTTACATTCAACTGCTTATTGGATCAAGAGATTTCAACCGACGTCATTATCTACATCACCAAGTTGTAATATGATGTTATCGGATGATTGGTTAAATCCGCTTGTCAGATTTGCATTTTCATTCAAGGTGTGTGTATATATGTATTTTAATTGTAAAGTAGTTCCCTTTTTTAGAATTAGGACAAGACTGATTTTAACCTAGTTTACAATATGAATTGATATCTATTAGACAACTTTAAAGACTTAGGTGGCAATATATTACTTACGCCTGTTACTCCTCGTGGAGGAGCATAGACCGCCCACCAGCAGTTTCCATCCAACCCTGTCCTGGGCAATCCTTTTTATATCTCCTTCTATTTCCCGATGTAATGTGTTCTTTGGCCTTCCTCGTTTCCGCTTCCCATCAGGATTCCAAGTTGGGGTTGGCCTCGTGATGCAGTTTGGTGATTGCTTCAATGTATGTCCTATCCACTTCCAACGTATTTTCCTGATTTCCTCTTCAGCTGGAAGCTGGTTTGTCCTTCCACAGAAGGCTGTTGCTGATGGTATCCGGCCAATAGATGTCGAGTATCTTGCGTGGACAACTATTTATAAATACTTTACCTTCTTGATGATGGTTGTAGTAGTTCTTGACGTTTCAGCTCCGTACGATAGGACTGTCTTGACGTTCGTACTGAAGATTCTGACTTCGATATTGGTTGGCACTTGTTCTGAGTTCCATATGTAGCGGTTAGCACTCTGAGCTTTGAATCCAGCGACCCGAGTTCGAGTCTCGGCGAGGCCTCCAAACTCCTCCTGTAGCCCTTCTAGTGTTACTGCCGGTAACATGCCCAGATAAATGAGGAGGGTTAGGTATTGGGTCGACAACCCCATCCTGTAGAAAAGAGAACCTTGCTAAAAAAAAACGCCAACCAGGTTAAACATATTAAACCATTTAAACTCTGCCCTGGAAGTTGAAGGAAGAATTATGACGCCTCAGGACGGAAGCCGACATTCTTCGGAAGTCACGAGGCCGATGCCCTCTCTAACAACCGACGCAACAATTTTTATAGGTACATAGAATTTTTCTACTCTATTTTGAGGTTACTTAATAATACTTGTCCCACGGATTAAACCTAATACTTCTAGGTTCCATCTCACTTTTCTAGTTGTTGAAATTGTTGTCTTGTAAAGAGCGCAATTAGAAATATGTTTTTATGGTAATTTAGTCATCAGATATATTATGGTCTTGTGTACTGCATTTAAGTAGATTGCAGTTGTGCATCTTTTTTCATCATTTTATGGACGGTTAACTAATCATATTTTGTAAAGCTAATCGACTTCTAACTAATTAATTAACTGCATGCTTTTTTTGTGAATAACTTGATATAAACATGTTATGTTATCCGTTCATAACTAATCAGTGCCTGTAAAAGTTTTCATCAATTTATGTAATTGTGACACCTACTAACTTTCAAGATACTGTAATTAAATAACTGATAGTACACATTAAATTCCTTGAAAGAAATTGCGATGGAAGTGAAAGAAAAAACTGGCATTCATGGTTGAATATAAAAATATAAAAAAAGTGTAATGCAGTTTCATATGTGAAAATGTCAGTTCAGCAAACATCATTTTCATTGTTATCATCATTATTTTGTTGTATTCTCAAAGGAAATTCCTCATTCAATTATTTTTTATATTTTTTTAAAGATACATTGAATTGTTAAGTAGTTGATAGACATCTCTGGCTCTAGACTTCGTACCAGTTAAAACTAGATAACCGTAACTGTTTTTAAATATCTGAAGAAAATAACGCTCCATGTGTTCGAATTTATCACCATTCAGTATCTCGTACAGAGAGACATTGACAATGAACTATTTGATCGACACGATCCTATAAGTTTGAGGCGTCATTTTTATCTTTGAGCTAATTGAATTCTGTTGACTAAGTTACGATTTGGTCAGTGGTGTAAATGACTCGTCATCACGTCCACTATATTTAAATGTTACTGCTAATCGACAGGATTAAGTCCACACCATTGTCTAAATAAATATGATCGATCGGTATAAAGATAAAATGTTTTGTAAAAACAATTGTTTCTTTATTTTTATGACTTGTCACCCGTTTATCAATTTGTAACGTTACACGAATCAATACAGAAAACTGTTAATCTCATAAATTATCCCCTTATTTATTGAATATCACAATCATATATGTAAAATTATTTCTTTTAGTGCTAATAATAAAGGGATCCACTTTGAAATTAGTCATTTGTTATGTTCTATTGCTTAAGTTATAAGATAACTGATTTGATATTATTTCTGGTAATTTGTAATTTGTACAACAAATTCCCTAATTTGTAGATTGGAAATAATTTCCACTTGTCTTTAATCAATAATTCCCTTACTTTAGTACTGAAAAATTAATCATTCTAGAAATATGTTTCTGATAGTGATTAAATACTTATTTAAGTATATATTTTCTGCGATTGACTCTGAATACTTTTCTATCCTTAAAAAAATAAAAAAGTTACAAGTAATAGTCGAATAACTAAATGCAGCTACTGTATCAATCCATGAATTCGTCTACAATCGTATTATATGTACATAATCAGTCAGTTATGATCAACACAGAGCCTGGGAAAAATACACGTTGGTCCAAATCGCCATGTCATATTAGCACAACAAGATGAATAAAAAAGAAGTCAAAACAACTGTAGTGTTAGTGATAGCGGGAAAGATTAAATACTACAGAGTGCAGTTCTAAAAGATAGAATGAATTCGAGAAATAAAAAGTTCGAAGATTGAAACTCATTAAAAAGAATTAAGACAATTCAGCAAAGAAAATTTTCTATTCGATAATATCGTTTACAATGGTCGTTTTGAGTTGGGTAAATTATTTGTTTGATATTCCTCGAAAACAGTTATCCATCCAGGCTTATTCAGTGTAACATAAAACCAAAATTATAATCTGTAAAACTTCATAGTTCTTAGGAAAACCCTCTTCATGAACATTAGGTTCAAGGCAGATACTGCTGCAAAACGTTTGGAGAATTATCTGACGAAATTCTTGAGCAAAAATTTTTATACCCCTAAGTTTTACAAACAGCATTGAGTTAAACGTAAAACATATTTCAAAGAAATACCGGGGTAAAAAATGTACAGAAATTAGTAAATACACTTCTGCTTATTAATTATCCTCTGAAGTCCTAGTATCATTTATCAACAGTGATTAGGTGAAAATCAGTTAGTCTGCTAAATAATTAGGAATTTGTTCGAAGCCATCAATAATTCCCTAAAAATATCTTTAAAAGTCGGAAAAATGGTGGGCTTCAAACAATCAGGATTCTTGGGGAACTTTTGAATGAATTCTGTAAAAGGACGAATTATATTATCATGATCCGATCGAACGATTGCCCAATTCGTTTAACATGTTCTTCACAACCTTTTATATTCTTAAGGTCACATTTGATACTATAAAATACCCTTTTTGTCTGTAAACGAATTAACTTTTCTTTGAAGCTTCTCTTATCCCTCCTCCTTTTGTTTTCTGTTTGGAGCTTAAAAGTAGATTTATGTGGACTAGGAAGCGGTTAGGAATCCGATATCAAAACTTACAAGTACAAGACATACCAGAGATTTACTCTTCTAACAATTTTTCCATTGGTGTCATTTTTTAGTCACTTCAGTTCTCAAAATTATTAGAGATAGCTACTGTGTGCAAGTGTAATTGCAGAAACTGCACACCGACAAACTATGAGGTGCAAAATTAGATCTTCATAGTTTGCTTCAAATCTAAGAAGTAAATCAGTAATATCAAACAACTGATGCACACATCAAATTAATGTTATTAAAAACAATTTAAGAAGTCTTAATTGTATTCCGTAAGTTTATTTCATACGCAGTCTAAGACATGTCACACTCTGTTTTTCCCTAATTTATAATCGACATCGTAAACCATAAAAATTCTGTGAGTTATTTAGAATTTAAAATCCCATTAGTTGCAATCGATTTGTCGAGACATGGAAATATTTCTTTGAAGCAATTTTATGTTTTTATGCTTGTAATAGAAAAATTCATAGTTCATAAACAAATAAATAATATTGATACTGTTACTGATTTATTTTTAGAATTGTGTCAATGATCTCGATAAAAAGTCACCTCATTCACAAAATTCCTCATTAAATATACACGATACTCAATCTTCTAGTCATTCACATCATCGTCACAGTCAAAAACACTTGAAAGAACAAGAAAAGGTATTAAATTTAATTCTGTTTTCATTTTCCATTGGAAAAAGAATTCCACCTTTTTGTTGTTGTTTTTCTTTTACAAAAAGGTTACTATGGCACAATCAACTTCTGATATAATTGACAAATTTTATTTAAATACTTTTACTGACACTGAATGAATCGGTTGTTTCGTACAACCAATTTACAAGTTCTCTAACTGTGAATAAACTATGTAAAATAGGATTACTAGTTAATTAAATGAATTTACTATTAGAGCAGTGGAGAGATGATTTAGTGGTTCGACTTTTGGTCACTGAGTCGAAGGTTCGATCCCCGCCCTCCCCTACCTCCGGCACCCAAGCAGTATCAGTAACCTTCACTGTTAGACCGTGACTCGAGGCCATATTAAATAAGTTATTATCAGAATTAAACAGTCATAGATAGAAAAAAGTTTCAACCAAGATAATAGGACTCATCATGTAACCATTAAAACCAATCGAGAATGGAAATATGTAGGCTACAGAACAACCAATCAGGCCTCACTCCTAACATTTTTACTATTACTTTCATATAACATTCATTTACTCAGTGAAGGATTCTCGGCACGAAACACGCAATATTGCAGTAAATTCATTTTTAGTATACATTGTAGTTGTAAAGATTTAAAAATTATATTCTAGAGAAAATATTTACAATCATTATCAACCAGTTCTGTCTCTTTGACATGCTTTCATTGTCCAATATATTTGATAATAATTAATCAAGTCGATATTAAAAATATCAAATTAATACAATAAGGTTATTCCAACTACAGAGAAACGTGAGTAGCTGAAGCTCTCCATACATTGCTAGATCTTACTGCCTCAATATAAAAGTCCTTACTATCCATCCGACTTGGACCATCTGTCCGAGCTAACATATCTGATTCTATTCACATCTCACACTGTTATCATACATACTGATTCAACTCTATCCTTTTACATTACGAATTTCATGTTTTTCTTCCATTAACACACAAAAATACAATATATCTCACATGAATCACATTAACCGGAATGACATGTCATCGACTGAGAACTGCTTTTTTGATTGATCCCACTAAGTAATTTTGCTTGATACCTTTGTACTATTTAAAATTAGGTTAATTTAATTTGTTTACTTATTCTCTGAAGAGGTGGCTGACATGTAGTCACGAAACGTCGGAAAATGTTATTTTTCTACTCATTCAGATGGAACGAATATATTATTTTTAATAATAATAGTAGTACTCGTTTTATTCATTACTATGAACCATGTTACAGTAAGGAGTTTTCAACATCGGTTGTCCAACGTCGCAATAAAAATCTCATTAACATACATTTAAGTTGAAATTATTCGGAGAATTATGTTGTATAAATGACTTTTTCAATAGTTAGTATCTGCCGCTTATCTTTAGTCGTAAAGTCTTTCTATCAGTTCTCAGGTGCCAAAATTGTCTCCATACACTTCGTGAACTTAGAAGGTGCAAAACACATACCGAACCTACGGACACTAATTGCCAACTGAATGAGTGCAGATTGCATGTCTTTGGTATCATCACGCAGTAAGACAATATCATCCGCATACTGAAGGTCGAGAAGTCATTCTCCAGGCATTCGTTTAAGCGTTGCGGAATTCTAGAGATTGATTGTATTATTGCTTGCAGTATTCAAGGTTGATACTGATACACAAATTTATGTGCGAGACCCGAGCGTCTACTGAGTGAGAAGACTAAGAGCGAAGGAGGAAGCTTACAGATCAAACTGAATCAAATGAATAAAAACTCATTTATGTGTGTACGTGTATATGTACTCCTTAGAATGTAAAATTATTTCTTGACCAATGACTTGCACTTATCAATAGGAGAACTTCAATTGGCTCAATGTGAACTTCTCATTCTGTGGATTGCGATTGGTCCATTTTCTCAGGTTTAGTAGTGTCAATATTATTAACGCTTGGTAACATCTAAATGATTTTTGATATAAAAGCGTTTTATAAGGGGAAATGTGTAGCAACATCTCTGGCCAATAGAAGTTTAGAAAGGTTTTGTAAAAAGTCGGTATCATACTTTATCATTTTTCATTCATTCCCTGTTGAACAAAGATCCCATCCTCGTCAAAACGTGAAAATCGTCATCGTAAGCCACGTACTCGTCAACTGGATACAGACGGTCTAATGGATGATATATTACACAGTAAGTTCCAAAGAGCATTTTAGATTGAATTTAAAGTTTTTACTGTAAACAATACAAAACGAATTTGTGATTGTTTTGATCATGCACTATACATCACAAAGTGATAATGGGTGGGACATACAATTTATCTTTCCTTATAAATATATTATTAGAGTGCTATCCGTAATAATAATTGACCCAGCAGTCTATGCTGAGCTATAATCTAAGCAGCTACAATTTAGTCTTCGGTAATTTATGTATTTCGAATAATGAATAAGTGGTGAGTAACAGTCAAAATTATAAAATATAACAGTGTTCATCAATTAAATAGTCAAATAACGATATATTACATCAAAATCATAGTAACTGTTAAAAGTAATACATGATTTAGCAGTAAACATGCCCATTAGGAATGTAATTACAACACAGTCCGGCCACTGAATAAGAATGTATGATTCAGTCTTCGACCCTCGTCGTTAATGAATTACTGTCCCACTTCTGAATTGGTTTTGTCCCATAGTTCATTGCTTTCCATCAAACTCCAACAAAACCACCTCGAAACCAATCACTACCGGTCATACGATTATCATTTACCAAAGTATCTTGTATAGAGATTCATATAATCTTAGGATATCCTTTTGTTATGATTAAGTTGGATTGAAATCTTGATTCACTAATCAGAATTCAAATCATTACTTCTCACTGACTAACGTTCTGTGCTTTGAATGACAGCGAATTATCTTGAGCTGTGGCCGAGATAGTCGTCGATGTGGCTTTCTCTCCTTACCCCCTCATATTTAGTCCGATAAGAGAACACAACAAGTCGATAAGATCTCTATTGTATGATTATCATTACGACTCAGACCTCACAATAATATAAAGTAAATTCCTGACAATGTAAACATAAATGGAGAAAATACAATGTGTTCATGACCACGCCATAAGTGAAATATACACTGAGTGAGGTGTCCGTTATTAACTAAAAACAACTTAGGAAAAGTAAAACACAACAATAGTTTATGAACCAGATGAAAAGGTTACAAACAGGAGGATATAAGAATGCTATAATCCGTGTCAAATAGTTATATAATGGAAATATTATCAATAGTTGCACGTAAGGTAATCACAAAAGTTACTATCGGATTCAAGTTCAACACAAGATCTGAATCTTCTCAGCTCAATCTCATGTATTATTGTAAGTGTGCACTAGTGAGGGGTCCGAAAATGGAACCAAGTAACTCTGCGGTGCTCCAGTTGATATACCAGTTTGTGACGATGATCATCGTGCAAATCTCATAAAACATTTTTTTAAAACTTGATTATTGTTAGCATGGAAAAGACGATACGACCATACTTTTCCAAAAAAATAGGTAATCATTCGGAATGATGTACATATATGCCTCCAGTATTAGATTACACAGTAATAGCTAGTATATATTCTTTATTCCTTATGAAACCACTACACTTGACAAAACAGTTACTACCAAATACCAGAAATTTGAGTGTGAAAGTTCTATATTTTCATAAAGACGATTGAATGGAATGAACAGCAAGACGAATATGAAATCACGAAAAGGCATATACCTACTTCGAGATTCAGACCGGCCTCATTCTGTAACGTATTCAGAGATACCACTTACTGGGTAATATCAAATATCACTCTCTTTATTCCTTAGTTTTAACTAAACTCTGTCGTCGAGTTAGCAGCAACGTCCCTAATTCTATTGCTTTGAAAAACGAGTCACAGGCAGTAAGTCTGAACTGTGGAATAGACCAAATAGTGTTGACTCCTGTTCAGAAAAATAAAGATGAACTACGTCCATATCTAAGTATCGCTGTGGCTAAGTCGCTAAAGCAGTAAGCTTTTAATTATCCGATCAAATGATTAAACCTCGTCACGCCTTCCTTGGTTTCGAAAGCCGAGTAGTCGTGTTACGCGATAAACGTATGATCCAGAGATGATTGCAAAAGACTGTGCTTAGTCACATGAGTTATTAGTTTAATAATACATTGTTTGAAGTGCAGTGGTATATCATGTTCCATAATTAAGTAATCACTACCTTACCGAGTAATAGTTTTATGGAATTTAGTTAACACTGAGGTTTATATATCAGGAAATTCAGTCAGCTACAACGCAGGACCAGGCACATATATACATCGGTCCAAGATGCCACACCTCATTAGTACAAGATGAACACCGAATTCATAGTAGTTAATTCAATGGTGGTAATATATTAAAGAAAAACATTAATTATTCTAAAATCAACCTACTTAGCATTTCTAGCTATTATGTCATAACTCTGTCTTTCTCTTCCTTAGATCTCACTTTGAATCCTCTAAGAGCAGATATACATGTGAAACGATCAGACAAGATTGATTAGATCAATGCTACTTCTTTCCCCTTCAATGACACCATATAGTTTTCATGATAATAATACACGAACTAGTGTTGTTTTGTAAGTCTTCCTACAAATATACATTCCTGTGAATGGAAACCTTTATCCCTTCGTTTTCCTTTCATTTAAGGCGTTTCATCTTACCGTTTATCTAATCTGCTTTGTTTTCCTTGATATTTGTACAAATTATTTTAATGCTACGTATTACCACTTAGTTATATATATGCCTTTAAGCAGATAGTTATTTTATAAAGTACCTTGACTTCTGTGGTGCGTTGTCCTTTTGAACGTAATTATTTAAACTTATGAAAATTTATATCTCAATTTTTATTCTTGCAGCATTTCTTTCGATTTATTCGCGAAAACTTCATCTGTCTGTCCCGATTGTACTGTTTTAAGCTATTGAATGCTCCTCCTGAATATGTGTATACAGGTACTTATCCCTCTATATATCGAGTGCATAATATCGTATACATATGCCTCATCAGTGTCATTATTGTTTGCTTGTTGAATACTGTAAACAGATTAATTTACTTTTCATTTTATCACCTTAACCTTTATTCCTTTTACATCAATAAATGAAGCATCTTATCCTTGTCAGCAGTTATGTTGCAAATTTCCTTTTTATTGTGGTTGGTTAGTTTGCATTGACATAGATATTTGAGACTAGTTTGAATTACCAACTTCTTTTGCAACCAGGTTGATAGATAAGTTTGAACAATTAGAAATGATTTGGGATATTATTCAGTTTTTGAATAAAAATCAGACACTAGACGTAACTACCAGTTATTTCGTATAGACGGAGTGAACCTTAGTGAGCGTGGAGTTTTGGTAGAACCACCCAGAACTAGAAGTCAGTAAAAACGCTAGTATTATTTTTCACTGGATTCTACACTAATTATTCTTCTCTACAACTAAGCAATTATTTGACATAAAAATCTTAAGTTTATCTCCAGTCTTATCGTTAAGGATAGAAGGTCACTAATTAACTTCGGGAATTCAGCGAGGTACGCATTAGTCAGTACATAGTTCAATCGTGAAATGTTTGTTGCAACTCCAATAGTTGAACTTATTGTTGGTCCTCGGGAGAAATATGACACCTTAGCAGCACCATGAGGCTCTTGTTAAGAATCCATTGGAATATTCTGAATTATAGCACTTTCAGAGCCCTAATTGCTTCACCACTCAAAAGCAGATCCGCAAGGTTTTTGCATAATACAAATCATCCCAAATGAATCGAAATGTCATAAAACAAGTTATCCTTGTAAGCAAAAATGCTACTGAAAGTCAAACAGAAAAGGACCTAGATGTGTAAGTAGACAAAATAAGGATGTGTAGTGGTTTTCTTCACGGATTGATATTAGCAGAGACACAATTGAGAAACGGCGGGACAAGTGTTTCTAACTTGTGTGGGTTCTTAGTGAAGGGGACAAATGACTATCCAAGGACTGAACTCAAATTTTTCAGGCCCCGAAGAGAGCGCTTAAACTTCAGAAAACTGGCTCATATTTCCAACTTGGATTAATTCTTAATATTATGTATTAGATAGGTTTTGTTGGTGTTCTAAGGAGTGAGATACTAGGAATAGAGGTTCTGGGGGATTGAAATCAACTTACTGTGTGTGGTCTAGAAATTCGAAATGGCGATGCAATGAAAAGCCTTTTCTGACTAATACTAATCGAATTACTGGAGAATACTTCATTTCCCAAGATTTGATATAGTGTGATGGTCATCCGACATTGTAATAACTGTACAAAGATGTTTTTTATGAGGTCTAATGATGGTGTTTGATCTTCGGTCACGGAGTTTTGCCGTGCATCTTACCTTCAAATCGATATATCATTTCATTGAAAGAAACAGTAATTCAACATATGAGGCACACCCATCATCCATTAATAAAATGTATTTCGATAGCAGTATCATATGTCTGTCTACTGAACTTAAATACCATATCCATCGGCAAATAAGAGGTGTACAGTAATAACTGGAATTAATCTAGAGCGGGGAATATTCAAATAAAAGTTAGAACGATACGTTTAACTAAAACCACATAAATAACTGGCCAACATATAAAAAGAAATCAGTATCATGATTCACAATTGATTGATCACTGGGTAGTGATCAATGTAATGCTTGTCTAGTCCTTATTAGTGCAGATCGAATGCTATCGATCATGTTGCAATGTGGCCACCAGTCTAGGTGACTCGACACTGCGGGCACTATGTATTGAGATTAAGATGGTAGTTGGAGGTAGTCAACAGGAAACCCTGGACCCGGGTTTCGATAGCATTCGATCTGCACTAATAAGGACTAGACAAGCATGACATTGATCACCACCCAGTGATCAATCAATTGTGATTACATCTCAGTCCTACAGGAGGTTAGTCACGGCTCGGATAGCTCAGTGGTAACGTCTCTGACTGTGAAGCTGGGTGACACGAGATCGAATCCGCCAGGGAGCACCAGTTCCCTCAAGATTACAGGTACACCTTGCTGACGAGTGCCAAGTAGCACGAAACCCGGGTCCAGGGTTTCCTGTTGACTACCTCCAACTACCATCTGTATCATGATTCATTCATATTCTCTTATCAATTATTTATATATTCCAGTTTGAATGAAACTGTACATTTCAGTTATGGTGTACATACATGTATAATCATATGAACAAATAGAAATCAGGTTAGCGAAAAACAAAGATATTAGTTTGACAAAACGAATTGTCCAATTCTTTTTCTTAATGTGTATCACAAAACTCATTCTTGATGATTTTATCTCAATTAGAAATCAAATGGAAAAACTTACAAGGGGAAATATAAAAAACAGAAGAATATAACACAAGTGCACATAAATTAAAGTTGAGTAAAGGAACTACAGTAGATTTTCATATCATTGATTGTTTTGATGTTTATGACTGTAGGGCGCTCAGATCTGCTCGATAAAAATGATAATTACTGGTGCTGCTATTATCACCACCACTGCTACTACCATTATTGTTGCTTCCGGATGGATGATAAGAGGTACAATCATAATACGGCCTAAAACATTCATCAGGATCAAAAATTGCTGATCGACAAGAGTTTATATCAGATCCTACCGACGGATAAGTAGATACTAGAATAGGATTAATATGGTTTTTTGACGACCCGGTTAGCTCGTAACTAGAATTCGATGTACAAAACTCAGCTGAATAATTGGTCATTTGATTAGTCAGTAAAGAATTACTATTCCTACAACTGACGTTCAGATTAGGAGAGAATGGATTTTGTGCAGTACACAACGGCTCATTACGATACAAATTATCATGCTTATTGACAAGAAGTAAGTGCTTGGGTTCGCCATAGGAAGTGGATTGTTTCAACCAGTAAGAATCTCTTGGTTGTGCAGCTGGTATGTTATAACCAGGAATGCGACTTAATGTCTGCTGCTTAATATCGAGTGACACGTCATCACGACTCCAATATTGTTTCTCTTGAGCACCGTTATAGACAGAAGATGGGGTATCACCTGAATATATTTTATCACACGAGGTATAACTTGTTTGTGTTCTCATTTGGTGCTTGTTTTGAAGAACATTATTATCTCCATTCCATATTTCCCACAAGCAATCATCAAGTATGCGTGGTTCACAATTTAAACTTGGTTCTGTATATGTCGGTGGTGGAAATATCGGTTCTTTGGAATTACACACAGAAGGATCATCATTAGTCACCGGTGTACCGAAATTATTCCATGTTTCTTCAGGCAAACATTGGTTCACAAAGTTTTTTTGCCTGTATAATGAATGGTGATGTATGGCGTTTAATTGCTCGACAGTTGACTGCATAGCATATGACTTGGCAGAAAAACGTGCAGATTTCGCTAACTGAAAAATGAACAAAAAATTTTGAGATGATTTACCTGTGGATGTGTTGTCCGAGGTTTTGTAATCCTTTTAGTTCTTTTCACACTTTTATCTGGACCCTTTAAATGAGCCATCAAAGATTTCATCAATTCATTGTTTTGACTGATATAGTTACTAATAGCCTCACAATGTCGAATCGATGCAAGTTTATGATGAGATTGAAGATTTGATATACGTTGTTGGAAACGATAAACCTGTGCTGAAGCCATGTAAGCTTTGGAATATTCAAAATAGATTAACCAAATTAACAGTTTTAGAAGTCTGGAAATTCAGAGAATAAAAATTTCAAACAAGTCAATATGTTATAAAGAACATGAGATTTAATATGTGTAACTTACTGCTGTAGTAATGAACATACACTTCAAGTTACATGAACCAAATCTACACAGATCCGTATAATATTTAATAATTGATTACAGAATTGTTTTTAATGCTGAAAACTCTGAGCTTAACTACAACACATTCAAAACATTGGTTAATTCATTGAAATGTCGAACAAGAAAAAAGCCTAATTGGGAGGTCTGAAGTTTTTGGACCAGTAAGATTCATACTTTGAATCGCTTATAATTCCACTGACTTTTAACTGTCTTTTTTTTCATGTATAGTGTATTGTATACATGCACGTTAGTTTACCTAAAACAAAAAAATTATTGGAATGGCTAGTGACTACGTCTTCGATGTTGATTCATTCAATAGTTTGTGTTAATCTGGTCATGTGAGTAGTAATCCTTCTGCCATATTTACCGCATCTTGTCTGTCGATTAATATTTCATCCATTTATTTTAAGTCAAATTATAACCCAAATCAATCACTTAATTTATCAATAATTAATTAATGGTATCAGTATCATGATCAGTCAAGTGTGAGTATATTTATAAGCATTTCTCTGAAAGTTGTTGCTCCAGGACTGGCCTGCGTCAACACTTGAACTAAGGACATGTAGTACAGTAGTCGAACGCGTCGACAACTTCACTTATCTTGGAAGTCTGATCAACCCTAATGGGTTGGTGCCTGACGAAATCCCTGCACGGATTCAAAAAGCTCGTTTGGCTTTCGCCACCTTATGTCACATAGCGTACGCGAGACATCCGTCTATCAATGAGGGGACGAGTAAACTACGCAGCATTTCGTTCTGTCCTAATTTACGGCTGCGAAACATGGCCATTAAGATATTCGTAAGCTATTAGTATTTAACCACAGATGCCTTAGAAATATTGCTCGCATCTGCTGGGATCATTGGGTAAGTGTTATAATCTCTCTTTCTTCTTACGGTTAATGACCCAGCTATTCCTATTGCTTAGTATTCTCGGACACCGATCCACTCGACAAGTCCCCAAATCAGAACACGGTTGAACAGGAAAAAGATTATATTCCAAATAGCAAGTCAGAAGCACAATAGGGGAAAACGTCGGTATATTTATAGTTTTTACATAAGAAGATTCCAGAGTATTCTCCGACTATCGACTAGTGCTGATTGGATAAGAATCAGCCAATCAGCGTGCACCAAAACAATCATGCATTGAGCATGCTTTAATCTAGTCTATGTCCCGCTAACAGTAAGTAAAAGTGAGGTTAGACGCAGGGTATTAGGGAATGATGGTGAGTCAGTTGATGGGGTTGCAAATCTTTATCAATTGAGATGGTTGAGTCACGTGCCACGTATCTCCGAACACCGACTACCTCACGCGCAATGCTGTGACTAATGTTGGGTATGGTTGGAAGAAAGTTAGGGGTGGCCAAACCAAAACGTTTTATCAGTCCTTGAAGTTGCTAACTTCTAGTCTTAGCCATATTGGTGAATGCAGACTACTTGGTTGGGGTCCGCTTAACTATCGTAACCAATGGTTGGAGACTCTGGGTGACATGGCTCAGGATCGATCACAATGGCGTCGGTGTATACACTCTCTGTCTTCCCTTAAACTAAGAGATTAAAATCGCTTCATATCTTTCTTTCTACGAACTAATTCTTTCTTCCTGTACTATATCCTTATCGCAGTCTTCCTTTTATATATTACCACCTCTGAATTAACTACTTTTATGAATCCGGTGTCCATTTTGTTGTGTTGATGAGGTATGGCAACTTGGAACGATGCATATATGTGCCTGGTCATACGTTGTAGCTGACTGACTGACCAGCCAGAATTGTGTCGAGGAGTGTGGTGGCTGTTTATGTGGCATATCTATTTAGCGCGATCTTGTACCAATGTATTTAAATAAAATAAAATAAATATGTGCCTGGTCCTACGTTGTAGCTGACTGAAATGGTCACTGATAGTATACAGTCAAATGAATGTACAGTCGATAATAATTTATGGCACTTTGATTTGACCATTACTATCAGTGACTATTTCAATGACCTAGTTAATGGACCAGTCGAACCCTATCACTTTTCTTTGAGTACTTTATAATAGTGAGTGAGAATGTGAATCAATCTTTAGAACAAAGTTTACAGCAGACCTCATCAGGTAGATTTTTTCATATTCAAAGTTGGTGAACAACCAAGCAAAAAGCAATATCCCTCCAGATATAGCAACACACGCTAATGATTCCGCTAGAAACCTGAATTCGAAACACTAATTAATATAAAAATCCGGAGTGTAAACTGCGAAGTGATTTTCATTTACTCAGGATATAAATACTAAAGAACATATGAAGCCGTAAGCTGGAGGCAGGCGTCAGGAGCGCGAACGGCATTTGATAACAACAGGAAAGAATGGTCCGGGACATAGTTGGATATCTAACTGTTATCCTACAGGAGCTACAACTGATGAAATGTCTAACAGAAAAAAACCCAATCCTACATGTTTTGAAAGGTGGATTTATTATTCAGTTTTTAACAGGCTAAAAAAATAAACTACAGAGAGCAAGACATAAGTTACATAAAAGCGAGTCAAAGAACTATACAATTGCATGCGTGATGCTTTTTCATACGTTTCTTAGTACATACCCTGGATTTGATTCTACTTGGTCATTTTATTTAAATATTCCTAACAGGTAACTGTATTCAGCATAACATGACTTCCATATGAGTCGCAAGTTTAAAAATGATATTTTTACTGTTATATTCATTTTCCTGCCAATATTTAGACGTGACTAACAAGCTTATTTACGTCCACCTGAGTACAAATAAACTTGGGCCACTCATGATACACTCTAAACCATTTTGTAGGAGCAGATGCAAGAGTTAAAATAACATAGAATGTTCCACGACTTTGTGGTTTTTATGAGTTAAAGTCTATTCGAACTAGACTGCTTCCGCTTACCTATCATATAATTGGTCCCCTGAAACTACTGACCGAGTAAAACAAGCCGGACTTCTCAGTATGAATCTAATACCACCGAGAACCGATACATAGACATTGTTAGCGAGTAGTCTGTCGGTCTAAAAAAACTTGGCAGTTCGTACACTGCCTAGCCTGAAAGCACTTTAGATGTTAAGGAAGTGTTATTGATGAGAGCTGGAAAAACTATTAGATATGAACCGGCAGCTTAGTAAGCACATTGGATGCACTTACGTTTAATAATAAAGGCAGTCGAAAACAAACAGTGATAGTTACCAACTAAGAGAACTGCATATCCACAATGACAAAACCCAACATGAGATCTCGAATCCGTTACACATTATAACTCAAAAAGACCGCGTTTCCTTATCCAACATCTTTGTCACAAGTTTGTATAAATCGATTGCTCTCTTTGTCTTCCCTTCTTGATTCTACAGTACGGTCACATTTTTTGGAGTCGTCTAATGTGGTTAGTGTAGTCATTCTGTTGTACTAATGCAAACTGATTTGATAGCAAAATACTAGTGGCATACAGGTTTTTCACACCGAGTCATCAATTCTCTTGACCTGTTACCCGAAGCAGTGGTGTCCGCACCTTCGATTAACTCATGCAATAGAAGACTAGACACTTACAGAAGCATACTAGAAACGGAATAACATAAGCCGTGAGACTTCTACCTTTATTACAAAAATCTGAATCTTAATTGAGGTTTAATTTTTTGTATAAATTAGTGCCTTTGTTTTAGGGTAACGTAGTTGTTAAGACCAGTAGCCATCACATTATGGAACAAAGTATTGGTCGGTTGCATTATGAGAAACTATAAAACTAAATTTTAGGATCCAGTGGAGCGAAGATAAGCTGACAGACGGAATGAGTAAATGAATAGTTCAAACAAATAGTGAGAACAGGAAAACGTCTAGTGGTAACAAAAATATTGGATGATGTTAGTAGGGATGGGTTAGTAATAATAACAGAAGCTACGGCGATGTTACGAGATATGCATCAGATACAGTTGTTCCATACTGCTATCAATCAACCAGTCAGTTACAACGAAGAACCTGGGACGTATGAACATTCGTTCATATTCCCATACCCTATTAGCACAGAAAGGTAAAATTCTCAAACCAAATCTTAGAATAGTAGAGGAAGTGACAGTATGAGTGGTTAGAGAATAAACTAGAGACCGTAGATACATTTCGATAAAATACCAATTGGGGAAATAAGAAAATTACAGGAAATAAGCAGTTCATAATTTGGGAGAAGAAAAGGTTAGATTCGTGTTAGGATAGTCGGAAAAACATACCAATAATTATCGTGTTAAGTCTATGGTGGCCTTGGACCTTAAATGTACATTTCTTATTGGTGGATGTTTATTTCACTTGTTAAATATTTTGTAAATGTTGTTTCCTATTTTATGATACGATGTGGTTTGTTTGTTTGGTATATAAATAGAGTATGTCTGAAATACAATGATTCATAACTCAGAGGCTGTGACTTGTGTTCTTGACTCAACTGGCTAGGACAGACAGCGAAGCAGGGCCAATCAGGGCACTAGGTCGTCCACTACGTGTTTGCGTGTCCACTGTTACAGAAGCGATCGATAAATACGCTGTTTATCAAAACCTGCGGTCTCACACGTCACAACAATTCGCCTGCACCAGTGCAAACGATTTTGATCCATGTCATTCGAAGTCTCTAACCACTGGTTACGATAATCACTCAAACCCAACCAGGTAGTTTGCACTTATTAATATAGCTCATTTCAGTTGTCATTGACTTCATGGACTGTTAACATGTTTTGGGTTGGCTACCCCTAGCTTTCCTTCGGCCCGCTCCTGCACTAGAAAATATCGCTCTCTGGGGTAGGTAGTGGATGGACATACGTAACGCATGTCCTAATCACCTCATTTGATGAATTTTTCCCATC